AAAAGTGATACAACAAAATTGAAAAAAAATAATTTTGATACGTATATAACGTAATTTGAAAAGTTATGTATGACTGAATTTTTAATATTACGTTGTATGGATTTTTTAACAAATACATATTATTTGACACCAATAACTTTATATATTTTCAACGTTTTACCAGATAAACATTATATAAAAATGAAGTAGCTAGATTTACTTGTTTACTACTTATTTTGGTAATAACAGCCTAATAATGAACTCCACTGTGGAGTTGAAGGCCCTAGCCAAGGCCGCACTAGATATACCTAGTGCGGCCTTGCCCTAGCCCAGCTTCATTATCTTAATATAAATCAATATTGCAAAGTCGCAGTGTCGCTCTGTCCGTCTGTAGGCCTTTCACATGAGTAGCCTACTAGCCTAGCAGCTGTGTTCTACAGTATTTTTATTTCGCCCGATTACCCTCCCCCACTTCCGTCTCTGACGTCCTGACGATGACTCACGGTAGAGACAATGACCTCAAATAGGCTCAAATATGCATGCGATGACGGGATGCCCATCCCCCCCACCACCGCTACTACCCCACCCCTCCTTTACGGCAGTCTTCGCTCGGCTGTCAGCTTAGTTTGTGAGGTTACGTGAATATTGTGTCCAATATGTCCAAAAAGTTAACGGTTGCACAGCGGAGAAAATTGAATAAAGAAAAGTGAATTTAATATTTAGGTTAGGGACTAGGGTCTTATTTCAGATTTCTAAATGTAATAACGTGGTTTTATTTTATTCTGTCATTCAGTCTGATTTGAGGTTTTGTTTACCATTGTATTAATTTCTATTAGTACTGTATTAATTAATAACATGTATAGTACTTTTTTAGGCCTTAATATTTTCTTACATTAATTGTATGGATTTCATTATCATCTATTAAAAAAAATTTCTTATAAAATGTAAGTAGTTTAATCAATTATTCCTGACTCTAGTATTTTTAAAAGGTTATTCAATACGTTCACGTGACTGTTGTTGAGCATTAAAACGCAAGTAGCAACGCAACCCGCCACGTAACTTTGTATAACGATCATCACTCATCGTGTGTTTGGGGAGGGGCGCCTGACAACATCTCGCCCCGGGCGCCAATAAACCACGCGACGGCCCTGCCAACAATCTTATTTTATATGCCGACGATACAACTGCAGAAGATGCAAATGCAAACACAAATAAAAATACAAATGCGATACAAATGCTGACGATCAAATGTAAAAATGATTCAAAAGAATAAAAGACCAAAATTTAGCTGTTCACGGTGATGCAAAATTTTCTCGGTTTGTACGTAGATTCAAATTTAAATTGGAACAAAAGCATTGAACATTTAATTAGTAGACTGAATTTGTTTTGTTATCAAATGATATGAAACACAATTGACTTAAAAACTCATTTGATGTTATATTATGCAAGATATAACACTCTTCAATATGAAATTGAATTCTGGGGCTTTACATTAAACATTCATTTAATTTTTAAGCTTAAAAAAATGTTTAAGAATAATGACATTTGCACCATGGAGATCATCATGTAAGCCAATTTTTAAAGAATTAGGAGTAATGACTGTTCGGAGTTTAACAATTTTTAAAACACTTTTGACAGTAGAAGGACATTTTGAAAAATTATGTAGTGAAAAGGCTGAGCATGATACTAGGTTTAAAACTAACTTTCAATGTCCGCAGCATCGTCTTTCATTAGTAGAAAAAAACCCGACTTACATGACTATCCTCCATTTTTCCTATCGCTTGGCCATTTTGTAACAGATGTTGTGCAACATTTGATCTTTCCGGTTTGTTGTTCCTCCATGCAGATATGTGGTTTTTGAAGCGGTTAACAAAGTTCACAGTCTGTGCAATGTAGAATCTATCACAATCGTTACAATTGATTTTATAAATGCCCGAAGTATTGAATTTGTTACAATCTTCTATTTTATGATACGTTATTTTACTCATGGTGTTCTGAGTCCTGTAGGCTATTGAAACTCCGTATTTTTTAATCTGTTAGCAGTCCTTTGTGTTGTAGTCCCCGTGTAGCTAAATGTGACATATCTGGGGTTTTCCTCTTTCATCTCTTCTAATGTTGTTCTGCTATGTAGTTTATCCTGGCTTATTGATTTTTCTCCTCGTCTTTCTTGCAGTCTTAATTGTCTTGGTTTGAAATCCATTAACTTGTGCGATCTTCTTAATGATGTCCAGTTATTTCTTCCTATTGGTTTGGCTAAGTGGGATCTTATATGCTCGGTACAGGGTGGATCTAAAGGCTGTGGTCTTGTGGATTGTCGGATGGATAGATTTGCTGTTTAGTGTTTATTGTAGTGTCCGTTTGTGTGGGTTTCCTGTGGATGTCAAACTCTATCTTGAAGTTGTCTTTTTTTTCTAATGTGAGGTCCAGGAAGTTGATCTTTTGGTTTTCTTCAAACTCGTTAGTAAAAGTGTTACTGTTTTAGTCTTTATTTACCGTATTATTTAACCGTATTATTTAATTACTTGTTTATCCAAACTCGTTGGATGGTGGCTGTTAAGTGTCCGCATCATTGTTTCGTGCTCTTCCTCCTAGGCTTGTCTGAAGATAACAAGAATGTCATCTACATATCTAACATACAGTTTTTGCATCCTAAAATAGAAGATTGTAACAAATTCGACGCTTCGGGCATTTATAAAATCAATTGTAACGATTGTGATAGATTCTACATTGGACAGACTATGAACTTCAAAAACCACATATCTGCGTGGAGGAACAACACCGGAAATATCAAATGTTGCACAACACCTGTTACAAAATGGCCATGCAATAGGAAAAATGGAGGATAGTCTATGTATTTTAAAGAATTGTAAGAAAGGATATGTAATGAATGCTTGGGAAGAATTGTATATTTATAAGTAAAAATAGAAATAAACTGATTAGTGAACAAGTAAATTTTGACTCCAGTTATACTTATAACTAGGGTGGTCTGCCGTTACACTTTAGACGCATAAATGAGCTAAGCATTATTTAAAGATTGTCAATGGCTAAAGCAGCTAACAACCTACAATATGTTCCCTTTCAACAGATTCACCGTTTGTTTGCCCGATATTATTTAAGTTCTAAAGAATGACAAATTTATCTGATAGTTAATTTATTTAGTTAAGAATAAGAATAAGAATTGATCAAAGGTTATTAGACATGTGTATTTGACATTTCGTTTAAACGGTCAAGAGCTTCTTTCTTCTTTGCCCAAGATCCGTGTCTGTTAATTGACATCAATCGGTCTAGTGAAAATGGTGGATCCAGAAGCAGGCCTTCAAATGTCTTAACTCTTGATAGGCCTACGTAGGACAAACCTAAGCCATATTCTGAAGATCCAATGTCCACAACAGCCGGGATGTACTCTTGCAATCAACATTTGTTCTACAATTGTCAGGTCAGTTAATTCGTTCGAGACACTTGACACATCCATATTATTTAACGCCGTGAATTTAGTTGCATTTGAACGACAACGCGAACAAATCGGTGATTGGTTTGAAGCTGTTAGTTGTTGGCGATGACAGTTAGTGCAAGTGTAAAATTTTAGTGCATCTAATTCATGTTGGAATTGATTAGCTAACTGCCCATCATTATCAGCTTCTTCCGCCACTGCTTCATCTGGTTCTTCTTTTTTTCACGACGCCACTCTCTTACAATATTTGCATTATTGGTGCGACGACCAGTATTACAACGTGGCCTTTGAGGCATGCCCAAAACAAATATAGCAAAACTGTTACTTCCATTGATAAACTGTTACATTCCAACTTTAACCAAGGATGAAAGTAAACATTGAAATGTTAACAAAACAGTTACAAACCATTAACATATGTTTATCTTATTTAAATGAAACGAGATAAACCAAGATAAACCCATATGTCATAAACCCAATATAATTTTTCTTTCAACTTACATTAAAATAACAAGCGAAATTGCGTGACCCGTAAAGTAAAATCCAGAAGGAAATTTGCTAATATTTTTTACCAAAACATTGTGCTCAGTATTCTTTAGCTGTTGGCCAAATTGCATATCAATTGGTCAAGCCATTACATTCTGAAGCTCTTACAAAAAAGTTACAAAGTGAGGGAAAGTGAGCTTCGCTCAAAAATGTATTGGCCGGTGCTTCCGGTAGCCGATAGGGTATAAGTAGGGACGCCATTCAAGATTCTTGTCATTCGCCTACTGGGTCTTGTGATGATTGAGGTGTCCAATCGAAATTGATCACCACTTACCATCTTTTATGTATTTACAGTCTTGTGAATTACAGTATAAGCTTAACTATATGTTTTAAGTTTTATAAGATGTTTCTTTTATACTTTCCATGAACTAACTTCAAAATTTACAATTTAATTCGAGTAGTCTACTTGTGTTTGTTAGTCTATGGTAAAACCAAGTGATTAACCTTTTACTTGGGAGTGAGGTTACGCTACACTAATTAGTGTTTTGAAACACAACTTTTAAAGCTAAATTAGTTCAAAATTATACTGTAAAATGTGTTTCAGTTTACAAAGCTGGTGTATTAACAAAATATGTAGGCTAGTAATAATAAAAAAAATACCGTATTGTCACAGTTATCTGATTAAAATATATTGCATTGCCTGGAACTATTAACGTAATTGATATGAAAGAAGGCTTACCTTCAAATAATTCCATAGAGAAACCACAATATCTTATGACAATAATTACAATAACAATTACAATAATCTTATGAGGCTTTATATACAACAAAAAAGTAGATATTTTTGTGGTCACTAGTGGTTGAAAAAAGTGGCTCTGGCATGCATAAAAGTACCCTGCGCTAGAGTGAAATAAGGCAGTGGCGGCTCCAGGATTAATTGGAATGTACAACCCAGTGGTTGGATTATAACTCAAGTCAAAAAATGACTGAGCTGTACCTATTGCTTCTGAATAGCCACCACTGAATCTTTTACATGCAACCCTACTAAAAGGAAGCAACACAAAAGTGCTAAAAATCAAAAACTTACCTTGGGTTTCATCCTAGGCTGCTCGCTATTCTGTAAACATAAAGATGTATTAAACTAAAGAAGCAACAAGTACATAAGCATTTGTTAAGAAAAATACACAAACACACTGGTAAGGAGTATTAGAAGTGGTAACAGTAAAAGTCCCGAAATAGGTGAAACACAAACAGCCAGTCATCGTCCTTCTTTAATACATTTTATGAGGCTAGTTATTTAAATGATTAAACTTGTACTATATGTAATGCAGCTTGGTTAGTTAGATAGACATTTGTTGATTGTTTCTGTTGTCTTTTATGGGAATAGATTAATTTCAAAGAAGATGCCAATAAACAACGAATAAGATGGTCAGTTATTCAGCGTAAGAGCGCTTGACTTAGGAATATATCCAGGAATGTTTAATTGATACCGAACTAATCCCATGATAACAGTTCCAGGCAGTTGATACTACAAAAAGTTCAGGACACAATTTTACATTTCACCATTAGGAAGTTGGGAGAGGATTTCTGGGTCTATAGCTCTCCACTGAGAAATTTAATAATTTTAGGGTTGAAACATCTCAATAGACTTGATTTAATTCTGAAATGAGAGTGAAGTTATTACTTTCACAATACTGTATCTGTGCAAGACGAAGTATCTTACCTGTTTTAAATGGTCAATACTCAATGCTGCCAATATTCAGAAGTAACCATACATGGATAGGTCTCCAAAGGCAGCCATGTCATTTAGCAATCTTCTTTGAGCATAAGTCTGCGCCAGTTCCATTGCTAAACAGAAGAAATAATAGTTATTTGTGCAACTAGTGAGAAAAGTAAGCAATTGACTCACTCGAGAGAAATCCTTACTCACGAGCCGTAGGCGAGTGAGTAATGGTTTCTCGAGTGAGGCAATTGTACTTTGAACTCGAGTTGCACATTATACTTTTCCTACAGTTACCATAAAACAAATAAATTGGTCTTATGTTTCTTCAAACATAACCTATTTTTACACAGAAGTGAACTTTTAATATAACATTTAATGTGAAGTGACAAATACAACAGTACAACAGCTGACCAGCTGATTTACAGCCAGTGCTGCCAACGTACTTCGCGCGCATACGACGTTGCCTGCATGTTACGCGCTCACTATTTCGTGCCTTCACGTTGCAAATCTGGAGTGAGACAAAGTAATTAGAGTGAGACAATGTTAACATTGTCTCACTGATGAGCGAATTGGCCACTTTGCTTTCTCAAATCAGTGAGAGAACATGTACATTGTTAGGTAACTGTAGGAAAATTATATTATCAATTAATCACATTAGTTTTCATACATCTACATTAACCAATATTACCCACAATTTTATTGTTTCCTCATATTGTATTCTTTATTTAGGTTTAAGTATATGGTTATTGTGTCATTTTTAACCATCTGGCTCAGGGGTCTTTAAAGAAAATATTTTCTTTTTTATAAAATCTTAATCTATTACGTTACATCCTCTTCAGGAAAAAATTGTAATTATTATACATAGAGTACTCTTAATGTGTTTTGGAGGAACTTTTTTACTTGAACAAAATGCTTAAAAGTCATACCAAGTATCCTTAAGTTCTTATGGCATTACAGTTGACACAAAACAGTAGATAGTATGTAATTAAATACTTATATAATAGGGTTGTAGTATCATGTAAGTGTAACAATTGTGCAGTATGATAATTTTTTGGGTTACAGAAAAAAACAGAATGCCTACTGATAACAATAGGCCTAACACTTAACAAACTAGAAACAATATTTTTTTAACTTGTCATTCTCAAGTTAGGATATAATAAGCAATGCAATTAATGAAGACAGAAAAAATAAAATACCATTGCCTGTATTTTTTTCTTGAATATGCCTACTTAAGTATTTTAACACTGGGGCCTACATTTCAAAAAAAATTTTAGTACATAATAGCATTATAGCAGCTTTCGATTTTGATAATTTAAGGGGGTTTCTAGCACACACTATTTTCCAAACCACCCATGTTAGCTCACATGATATAAAACAGATTACTAAACTATGGAAATGAAAGAATAGCATTTCTTGGTAAACTTACTTTTGGGACACCTAGTACATGATATATGTTATTTATACAAAGGTATTTTATAACAGTTAGTGCTAAACATGAACAAAAACATTAGTTTAGTGATGATCAAAACCAGAAATTTTGAATCTCAAAACCGAAACCCAAACTTTTAAAAATTAAATCCTGAATCTCAAATCTCAAAACTTAAAAGTGCAACTTTTTCACTTAGCTGGTTACAAAGGTCAAGGTTACAAAAAATACAGGTAATAATAAAATGTTAAGTATGCAATCAAAACTGAAAGAGATCAACTCCTGACACTGCTGACATAACATAAATACTTGTTTGATAATCTTAAACTTCAATAAAACATATTTTTTTATAAACTAAAACTACCGACATTAAAATAAATTAAACCTCTAACACCAACATGAAAATGAATATTAGATTAATTAGGACATTTAGTAGTAAATATTTCTTTGTGTTATGAAACTGAATCGTACTTTGGTCGAGTTATAGTATTTAAGATCCCTTTTGAAGTTCAGAATACAGTTTACTTGTTTTATTACTGTTGATGGTGATATGTTTGCTCTATTGCTACGAGCTTGTATGGAAACAGTGTTATTAACAATAACAATGACACAAACAATTTCAGCAGTTTCAAAAATAAAACTGCCAAAATCTTCAATTTCGAAACTTTTGAATCTCGAAATTCCTTGAATCTCAAAACCAAAACTTTTTCAAAGTTTTGATGGTTTTGAGGTTTGAGATTTGGTTTTAACACATCACTACATTAGTTACACAGAGTTTACTTACCCATAATAGCAGCCGGATCAGGGTGGAACTTGGGGTCCATGTTGTACAGCTCAGCACCTCTTCCCCGAATAGCTCGCCCTATGACAAACAGTTGTCAACATCTTGGTAGATCTATTCTTAATCAGTTAAAAAAATGTTCTATTTTTATTTTTGGTATACTCTTTTATTTTCATCCTCAAATTACCATTTAAAGTAATAGTTGGCGCAGCAACGAGCTAACTGCTAGTTCTCATATAAATATTGTTATGATAGGGGGCCTGTGTGGCTAAGCCTGTAGCACAATTGCGGCCCGTGTCCCGGTAAAATTTCCCGAATCCTGGTCCCCCCTAGCTTGCGGCCCCCCTGCACCGCGGGCCCACTGTTGCCAAACTGATCCTGAACCTAAGTGTTGTGCCAGTGTCCTTAGCCAAATATTGTTCTCTGGTATGGAGACAGGTCCTTTGTTAAAGCCATTCATACCATAAAGGACTAGAGGTTTAACAGTGTTAACAAAAATTGTGTATATACAAATACAAGAACGCCGAACAACAAAAAAATACAAAAAAAATACAAGAATTTGTTTTTTATGGTTTAAAAAAAGTCTCTGTTAATTTTATACAAAATTTCATGCAAATAAAATCGGCCAACATTTAAATATGTTTATTCGCAACAATGAAATGTGTAAACGTTGACTGATTAGGATGAAATTTGGTTTGAAATTATCAGATATTTAAATAAAAATATCACATTGTTTTAGATTGCTTGAATATTAAAGAAATTTGCACCCTCCCTAGTCCCCTGTAAAGTGAACTCAGCCCAGCGGCAGTGATAAAGGACCTGTACGCACACCAGAGCAATAACTGGCTTAGGACACGAACCCAACTCTTTGATTCAGCTCAGTCTGTCCTTAACTATAACACCAAGCTGGATGGCTATAGTGGTCACCAACCAAATGTGTGCTATATAAATGAGACGACAGCTTTGTTACTGACCAAGATCAGTTGATTTTGTAGCCAGGACCTTTTAACTATTCATTAAAAGCCCATTATCAAGCAGGGCTGGGTCCAGATTCATTCTTACTGACTTATCTAAGGACCTGCAACCTTATAAATGTTTAAACCTATATTTAAACATTTCAAAATTTTAACTTTACCTGCAATATATATTCTTCAAGTTTTTTTGTATGTAAAAAATCATTTTCTCAGAAAATTCAAATGAACATAATTATGAAACCAGATTTAAAAACAACTTACAAACAGTGCTTTGTAGGCCTAAATACTCAAAGAGTCAAACAAACATTCAATACATGGCAGCTAAATTGTTTAATAATATATCAGTGGAGTCTCGGGAGTTGTCCTTGAACACTTTTAAATCAAAAATGAAAACATATTTAATACAAAAATGTCCATATACAGTGTAGGATTTTTTTTACATGTCAAAATATTTATATTTAATTGTGCCTGTAGTTTATATATATTTTTATACTAGATCTTATTATATTGATTGATTAAATGTAAGAACCGGTATTCATTTGCTGTATTAATACCGGCATTATGTATTTTGTGACGATTGTTAATGCATTGTGAAATGTTTACAACAATAAATTGATTTGATTTATGAAGCACTATAACCACTCAGCTACTTAATACCAAGAGATTTGAACACTGAGTCTATTAGGGAATCCTAGAAATTGTTTCTATTATGTTAAGGAAACCTTAGAAGTAAGTCTGCTAGAATCAGTAGCACTTATATTAGGGGCGGCTCCAGCGGGTAGGGGAAGACTACCCAAAATTTGTGTAGACATTTCAAAATTATCTAAATACTAATAACTACTGATACAATGACTAATTCATTTACCTTTTTTACTAGATAACCTTATGCATAGAAAATAGACATGTCCTCAAAAAGCATTTAACTCACTATTTCGCATTTAATTTTTAAAAAATGTCCCCCATCTTGAGGAGAAATCGCCCAAGCCCCCAATGCCTCGATCAAACTTCTTTTAGATCCTTGTCAGGCCTACCCTAACAATTATTCCTGGAGCCTCCCCTGGTTGTACTATGAATCTGACAAATCTCAGTTAACTACACTGAAATTTTACACGTCTTCCCAGCTCTGAATGTCTTGTCCTTTCCATATAAATAAAACAATAATTTCTTAGTTAACACTGCAAAAGTTGAGAAAAGTCATTGAATTAAGTTTTTTTGAAAAGTCAAAACTGTATTAAAATTAACTCAGCACTGACAAATCATTCAAGATTAAAAAGGCTACCTGGTTTACCGTCGTTTCCCGGAGAGGGCAAAAAACGAGAAATCAACTTTTTCTTGGGTATTTGGATTCCTGGAGCTACAGTCACAAGCTCGATGGTGTAGGATTGATTTCCATTGGTATACATAGGGGCTGAAACCGAAAGAATATGTCAAAAATATGCTTAGCTTACCATAAAAATAACCTACTATTGAAAATTAAAAACAACGATGGATAGTTCAATAGTATATGAGGCTTAAATTCTAAACACATGTTATTTGTCAGTAACAAAGCTACACAGGTCATCACACACCATTCTACACTCATCGTTCACTCATATTTCGGTTAAAATACACACCCAGGTGACGTCCCCATCTCAATGATTGATAATTGATTGATGTTAAAAGATTTTAAAACCTACCAATGTTTTTAGCCAACGTCAACTTCACCCGACATTTTGAAGACTATGAATGTAGGTCTAAACCACTAAAAAATTTTGGTAATCTTATATATACTAAAAAACTTTTGCAAAACTTATGACAGCTAGCCTGACCATACTGGACCAAATTACACGCGGTTGGTACCAAATGAATATTTTCCTGTGGATGTGCAGAATCCCTTTATAAATTAAAATAGGCTCCAAAATAAACACAACAAATTAATTTGAAATTTTGAAAAAATTAACATGGGCGTATGGGTTGCCATGTTGGTGACAAAATAACAACAAAATATAAACAGGAAATCAAAACAAATTAAAGAAATTCCAATCACATGTTTTATTTACAGCGTGGGTTGAAAATAGAGAAGTTTGCATAATACATACTTTTGAAAGTTTTCAACCACAAGGCGGCTCTCGTCAGATCCAAGCATTAAATGAAATTTCTAATCAAGTTCATATTCTTTAACCGTCAAATATTTTTTAATGGGTGTCGGTCAGAATATAAGATTGAAATATTGTTTCATATTAAAAAAATTGTATAACATTAAACCAGTTTCAAATTTGCTAAATAAAAAAATATTTAACTGTGTATTACTTGTTAATTGTTTCTCATTGTTTTTCATTTGTAACTTTAAAATTCTTTATTTCTTATTCTTGCCAATCATCAAGAACATTTATAGATAAATAAAATAAACCACAAAGGAAAAAACCCTAGACTGAAAAAAGCTTTAAACAAATTAACACTTAAAATAACAACTTTGTTTAGGTTGTGGAAAGTCACTTTTAACAATTGCATCAAAATTCATGATAAAAATTCTTTGCAACTCAAGATCTTAGGTTTGGTAAAATATCAAATATCTTTATTTAAACAATTTAAAAATAAGAATAAAATAATCTTAAGTGTCGTAATCTTAAGTAACGTTGTGTATTGTTTTTTACATTCGTGATGAAAAATGTCCGCAATAAACCTTTGAACAACAAATCTTAAGTAGTTCTTATTTAGTTATAGCAAATCTATAATACTGTCTATGAATGTACCTTAAATCTTCTTTAAAAAATACCTACCAGAATGTATCATGCTGACTGAAAATGTATTTAAAAAACAAAATTTCTCACCCTGAGGGACGTACTCCGAGACCGCACCCAATGCCATCCCTTCCGATGTCGCTCGGGCCGTAGCATCAAATCCTGACGCATTTACTGAAATTACAACATCAACAATAAGTATCAGAGCTATAGTATCGATAATCCAACAAAAACCATCAAGGCAAGATCGGATAAGCAGAGGTCAAATAACTCAAGAAATCAAAACCATTAAACTTAAAGTATTAAAATAGCTAAATTTTTAAAGATCTATCACTGTACAACTATCGAATGATTTAAATTTGTTTTCAATTAAATCCACTAACTTGTTGAAGGTATTATCATAAAAGACTTAACACCACTTTGTAGTAAAATAGAAGATACTGAAAAAATATACAAGATTTAGATAGTAAAAGCAGTACTACTTCATTCAGTCAGATTTTTGCTTATACTTTGAGTTTACAACAAGTGAGAAGTAGCAGATAAGTATGCACATATTTGAGCAGATAACAACTGTATGGGAGTGGGACGCGACGTTTAAAACTTAACCAGAAGTAGTCAAATGCAGGTGACTATACTCTGTTCACAAAACTTAGGCGGTTTGAGGGGAAGTTCCCCCCGATTGCAGCCGATTGACATTTTGGCAAAGTTCAGATGTTAAGCTATTGTTTTAAAGGTAGGATCAAGTAGTGGAAGGGATAAATTTCTTCCCATAAAACCACCTTAATTTTGTGAACAGATAATAAATCTTGGAAAATGAATTTATGTGTATTTCCAATACAGATAGAGGTGGTTAAAGGTCTTCCCAGTTCAGATAAATGGGGCAAAAGACATCCGTTAATTCAAATAGCTTTTAAATTTTTGATTGCATCATCTAAATTAAGTAAATTCTCACCCAGTGCCCAATCACGGTCATACCCAGAAGTGGCTGGTAGTTGAACCTGGGATCCAGAGGTGATTTCTGAAACAAAATTTTGATTCTTAAGGAGTTGAGGAAATTTGATTTTCCGCTATGCCTAGCACGTGAAATTTGAACGAGCACTGGAAAATGCCACTTTTGGTACTAGTAATGAAATATACAATTCTTACCTTGTGTCCAGTTGATGGCCCCTTCACAGTCGTAGCCAGATTTAGCTGGGAGTGTAGATGCAGAGGTGCTCGCTGAAACAAAGGTTCATTAATAAACTCCAATGACATATTGACAGAAAATATCAATCAGTACCGGCATAGACAAAAAGAATTTCAGCTGTGCTGCGGTTACCATAGGTTCTGGCGCACACCGCTGGGAGCACCATGTAGTTACATCGTACCCGCTACAAAAACTACACGGCGCCACAGAAAACGTACTACTATAACCCAGAATGCCAACCGCATGGTAAAAAGCATTAAGCGTTTTGAGAGAGCTTTGCCTGTCAATCCGTAGGCAGCGCCACCAGCGTTGCTAATGCTGAGTGCATGGCAACGCTGGTGGCGCTGCCTACGGATTGACAGGCAAAGCTCTCTCAAAACGCTTAATGCTTTTTACCATGCGGTTGGCATTCTGGGTTATAGTAGTACGTTTTCTGTGACGACGCTCCCAGCAGTGTGCACCAGAACCTATGGTAACCATGGTAACCGCAGCACGGCTGACAGTCTATATTTAATTCTTTTTGTCTATGGTACCGTTAATGTCATTGACAAAGTACTATTTAATGAAGTAACCAAGCCTTGAGCTTTGATGGTCTTCATAACAGAAAAACTACCTACCTAAAACATTCAAATATTGCGAGATATTAGATTGAGCCATCTGAAAAAGGTATTTTGAAAGAAAGTCTTGTACATTCTGATCGTAGCATCTTCAATTAATTAAGAGAAGAAAAGGCACTAGCTCGAGAAATCTGGAGGCATTGTGTTGGCTAGGCAAAGTAACACCTAGGTGAATGGAACCATGGCACTATGTAAGTAACAATTATATAATCATATTTCATAATTAAATAACTGGAGCCATAATTTCTTACCCTTGGACCAAGTGGCTCCTCCCGGTTGATACTCATTTGCAGCTGTTAATCCAGCGAGGTAGGGCATTCTAGGTGCCTGTCGAGCATTGGATGCAGTGACACTAGCTGAAACAAATTACAAGAACATGAGATTAAATATGTGTCTAAGCCAATAAACTTGAGTGGATCACACAGATTGTAGTACTGAATTTTTTGGGTAGGTTAACTATTATGTGTTAGACATTGGGCAGGGGTGGAACAAAGGTAGGTTTTAGAAGCCATAAGCATGAAGCCAAGGTAAAAATATTACAAATAACATAAAAACGAACTTTCAATATCACCTCGACCGAAAACAAACGCTGAAACCAGTGATCTAAATTTATACATAATTTGCCTCAATTTATGTCGAGTTATCTTAACATTTTGCTGGAGACTCAACACTCAAGCAGGTTAATTTGGCAACAGATATTTGACTGTTTTATTGAGTTTCAAAATTGATGTAGTACCTATGTAAACTATGTATATACGTAGATGTGTGTATGTAGATTATGTATGTATATTTAATTATGTACCCTAGATACATTTCAAAAGGTCTTTTTAGGCTAACAGCGAGTTGGTAAGGAATCTTTATCCCACAAACTCAAATACATAGCATTCATGCACTTCCGTTGAACCAACAAGAAAAGACTTGATAAGTTAGTGATAGTTAAAATGTTACGTAATGCTTCAAGTGGCCTAATCAGTGGGTCATACTTTGAGCTCCACACCAATCGTTTAGCAAATATTTTTAATTGAAGAAAAAGGTAGAATATCTTGCCCTAGTAACAGTAACCTAAAAACATCAACCACTACTTAATCATAATCAAAACAAAAAAAATCATTTCTTACCAAAAGCCTTCGTAAAGGCAGGATGTTCAGCAATTGGTATGCCAGGTGGGGGGCGAGATGGAGCTTTGGATTTAGTCAACGGAGAAGCTAAAACATGATGGGGATCAGGATATTAAATTACATAGTAATTTTCTGTTCACATGGAAAATAAATGACTGATTACTTAGCTGTGATTGGTTCAAACAGCCTTAAAGTTTTTAAAATAATTCAAGGAATTATTACTGTAATGAGAATATAAAAACTCTTGTAAACAAAATTACAAAATGAAATAATATTGAATGATCAATGCATTTAAACATGAGTACTCTTAAATTAATAGCTTTACATAATATAACAAATATGAAAAAGAATTTATAACAATAATATAGCCTAAGTCATGTATTGATATAGGTAGGCCTATATTATTTATTTATTTACACTTATACCTGCACTATTAACATTAGCGGCAACTACATAAATTATGTTATAATTGTGATCAATTTTGACCAGTCATCATGCAAGTTTCGAAATTGAGAGAATCAAAATCAGATCGATTTCATTTAGATTCTCCCTTAGGCCTGATGATGACCTGTGTGAATTGTTGATAATACAGTGAAGTGAAGTATTTAATGTATCACCTTCTACTCACTAGTATGTCACTGGGGTGTAGTGTCTAGATATATTAAAAACGTTGAAATATATATTTTAATTATACTCATATTTGTTATATATCATACCGTTTTGAAGTTCGCAAGTAAAGTAAGCCCTACAGCTTGACAACATCATGGTACTGAATCACCCGTACATCTAAGAGAGCTTTTACGAGTCAAAATTATCTTTTAAAAGAGGTATTTCATAACCATAAATTACTGAAATTGTATAAAACCATACCACAATTTTCTACAACACTTCCAGATGCTGCATCGTTCCAAGCTTTTTTAGCATAGGGCGACACAACATAGTTTTTAGGATCAATTGGTTTCAAGTCGGTATTCAGGATTTCTTCCAGACCATTGCTCTGTCGTTGAGCCTCCTGCACCAAGCTAGATGACTAGAAACAAAAATTAATAGAAACAAAAATTAATCCATATTATATAAATCCCAAAGTAATCAAGAACTTTTAAGAAAACTAAAAGTCACACCCCCATAAACCACATACTTCAATAAAACTAATAAATTTCCCTTTAAGGTCATAATTCCTTTCTAATGGAAAATTTCCATATACCTAATGTTAAAAATACCTCAGCTCTGTACTTATTTGTTTGTTATTCTTTCAATTTATTACCTTATTAAAATCAGGTATGATTATTTGTTTATATTATACTGTATTCTGTTTTGTTTATTTCAGCTTAACTTAATCAATCAACAGTTTTACTAATACTTATGAAGTCAAACAGGGTGGAGCCCGTGGGTCAGGCCCGTTTTTGACCCTGTCAGCGCCCTAGGCACAACTAGTAGAAGCGCCCCTTTGCAATATATATATAACAGGGTGTCCAACGACCGGAAAACCGTGAAATCCGAGACGAGTTTTTTAAGCCGGGGAATTATGTGTGAATGTTGTATTTCTACCTGGAATTTTCAATTTACCGAAATCGCATGACAACAGTGGCGTTGCCTTAACCACGGGAGACGATAATATGTCTACACACAGCCGATGATCAGAATTTTCCGCGATGGCAGAAGATATATGTCGATGATATCTACAGAGCTGCGAGGGATGATCAGAATATTGCCGCGATCACGGAAAACGATGATAATGTCCACACGACCGCAGAAAACAGCAAGAATTTTGCCACGATCGCGAAAGACAATGATGATTTCCACATGACTGCGGGGGATGATAACCATTTTGCCACAATCGCGGGAGGCGATTACAACGTCCACGACGGCGGGAGACAATATAATGATGTCTTCACAGCCACACAGGGGTGATCAGAATTTGACCCCAATTGCGCAAGGCAATAATAATGTCCATACAACCATGGGGAAAGATATGAGTTTGAGTTTTGCCTCATTTGCGATAGACCATGATAATCTCCCCACAACCGGGATATGTTCATATATATTGCAGCGATCATGGAAGACAAATTAGTCTACACAAAAGCAGAAAATAGTCAGAATTTTGTCGCAATCGCGGGAGACGCTTACGATGTCCACACGGCCGCTAGGGATTATCAGAAGTTTACCACAATCGCATGCAAATACAAACACCAATATTTTATTTCCCAATTTTTTAGCACCCACCAAAAAAGCCAATTGTCTCGCGCCCTAGGCACGTTGCCTACCATGCCTATTCGGGAAATCGGCCCTACCGTGGATAACAGCTAGTATATCTTAATTTTCATTCTACAACTATACTGATGAAATCAGATTAGTAAGTGAAACACTTTCTATGACGACAAGAATGAGTCAAAACACAGGCATATGAGAGGATTTTTGACACTTCTGAGGTTTGTTCTTTCCACCGTCCAAACACTTAAAAGATGAAGGATTTGTCACCTTCACATTCACTAACTGTTAAAATTACAAATATTAAAAACCAGAAAACTGAGTTTGCTAATAGAATAATAGGCCTACACACAGTCCAGTAGAATTGTGTTAGAACTTTGGACAAACTAAGCTAAAATCCTTGAATAGAAATAAGTTAATAAAGTTAAAATCATGCAAATGTATACTTTTAATAATAGGCCTACTGTTTTATATAAGTTGGCCTATACGAGGTGTGGCTAGAAAAAAACCAGACTAGTCCCGGTGCAACAATAAAACGAATGCAATAAGGCTGAAAGTTGCGTGGCCTGTCACGTGACTCTCGCCCCGCCTACTGCTCAAGTTTCATCAGCCTTCTTTACTCAGTCTGCCCGTGGCGTCTGTTCTAAGTAGTTGTCGTTTTGTCTGTGCGTCGGAAAAATGTTGAGTGTACAAAAAGAACAGCGTGTTAACATCAAATTTCTTTTCAAACTTGGAAAATCTGCAAGTGAAACGTTTGTAATGTTACAACAAGTGTACGGCGATGATTTTTTATCGCGAACACAAGTGTTTGAGTGGTTTAGGCGATTTAAAGATGGCCGCGAAGACACAAGTGACGACACTCGTACTGGCAGACCATTGTCAGCAAAAACTGATGCAAACATTGAAAAAATCTGTAAACTTGTTAGACAAGATCGCCGTTTAACAATCAGAGCAATGTCTGAGTTGACAGGAATTGACAAGGAAAGTGTTAGGCAGATTCTTCATGAAAGTTTCAACATGATCAAAGTGTGTTCCAAAATGGTTCCAAAGTGTCTCACAATTGAACAGAAAGAACGCCGAAGAATGATTTGTTCTGACATCCTAGAAAACATTGATAGTGATCCCACCTTCTTACAAAATGTTAATACTTGTGATGAATTGTGGTTTTTTACTTACGATCCCGAAACCAAACGCCAATCGATTTTTTGTACACTCACTTTTTGTACTTTTTTCCGACGCACAGCCAAAACGACAATTACTTAGAACAGACGCCACGGGCAGACTGAGTAAAGAAGGCAGATGAAACTCGAGCAGTAGGAGGGGCGAGAGTCACGTGACAGTCCACGCGACTTTCAGCCTTATTGCATTTGTTTTATTGTTGCACTGGGACTAGTCCGGTTTTTTTCTAGCCACACCTCGTATTTTAATTTTTAAATTGAGTCTAACAATACGAGGGATTTCCTTCTTACAGTTACTGGTTCAATCATCTTTAAGGGTCGTTCAGTTTTCTTATGGTCAGTCTTCTCTTGTCTTAAGTCAGACTCTTTTCGCACGTAGGGGTGGAACTGAAAAAAATAGTTAAAATTAAGAGCAAATATCAGGTTAGTTAGACAAATGAATGAATGTCATAATCAATATTTAATGAGAGGGGCATTAGACTACATAATTATTTAATGTTATATTCTAATATCCTAAAGCAATGTAAGCAGATGTGTCTGACAAGGCAACCTACCTAAACCTAGGTTAAGTAAAGCTGGGTTTACACGGTGCCAGTTGGTGAAACAATTGTCAGAAGACAGATAACTGGCATTGAAATTATTGGCTTCCTGTAAACACTTCAAGCCAATTGCCTTGTCAACTGCCTTCACAATTTCCCCGTAGGCTGAGGACAATGAGCTGGGCCCAGTGAGGCCCCCCACTCTTCGAAAACCCAGTTGTTGTGACAATTAATTGGCACAATGTAAACGGTATAGACCAATAGCGCTGTCTCGTCTTTTTGCAGTACCTTAATAGGTATTCTAACTTAGTTCACTGTAAAATGCCTAGGTAAGTGTGTGAACAGGTTCTCGTTCAACTTGCCTGGCCCACGTTAATTCTGCAACCACGTGATGACGATTGGCTAAGACCCAATCGCTTACTGGCATCGTGTAATCTCGGCTTTACCTAAGTTACATTACAACACTAGGCCTAGGTGCCTACATTAGCCTATAGCGCAACTTAACCCTTCAGTAGGCCTACATGCGCGGCTTATAGTACCACCTATACATGCGGGCGGACTGACAGTCTGTGTTACTTCTTAGGCTACTTACTGGAAACACTCCTTTATATAGGCCTACCCTAACTAAAAAAGTTCATATAGCATCAAAATTTCAAATAATCCAAATATAGGTAAATAGATAAATTTCAAAATTAATTAGGCCACAAATAACTTAGGCTAGATTTCAAATTTAAAATGTCCCTATTGAAAACCAATCAGTCAATCGCTGGCCTGTTCTTCATCCTCTTGAAACATGACACGCCTTTACACCCTCGTTCTTAGGCCAACTGACCCTAAGACGGTCAAAACACCGCCATTGTCCTTGAAAAGGTATAGTGGGGGACGGTAGATAGCACATCATGTCATTTGCTCGCGGATTCACTTAATTTCAGTGCACTTTTTCAAATGTGTGGACTCTTGGGTCCGTGGCGCATGTAGGCCTACTGGAGGGTTAAGTTATAACTTAGGTGTAGTGATGTGACGAGTTGAGTTGGCGAGTCGAGTTGACTCGAGTCAAGACCCGAGTCGAGTCAACTCGAGTCATCTCATTCACAACTCGAGTTGGTACGAACTCGTACGGAGATTGCTGAAGCTACACGAACTCGTAACGTTACGAGTCCGACTCGCAAAAGCCGAGTCAAGAAACCGAACTCATACGGAGAAAGCCGAACCTTAACGAACTCGGGACGTAACGAGTTGACTCGAGTTTACTCGCACTCGCTTTCGGCCAATAGCGTCACAGCTTTACGAGTCAACTCGCATAGATTCAACACTATTGGCGGAACGCGAGTTGAGTTGACTCGTATAACTGAAACCCTATTGGCCGAGTGCGAGTATAACCCTACACAATCCACAAAACGAACTCGTACGGAGAATGCCGAAGAACTCGGAACGTCTCGAGTCGAGTCGACTCGACTCATAAAGCTGATACGCTATTGGCCACTACCTAGTCGGCCGACTCGCAAAACTATAAGTTAACCCTATTGGTCGACTCCGAGTCGTTGCAGACTCACATGATGCATTGGTTTCGGGTCAAGTTTCGAGTTGAGTCTGACTCGACTCGTAACTCGAGTTCACGGCAGTTGGTGAGTCGAGTCACTCAAGTCAGGAAAGTACCCGACTCGTCACATCACTACTTAGGTGCATAAAACTTAGGCCCTAATTTAGACTTTTAAATTAAGCAAGACTCAAAAAAACTTTCTAGCCTTAGGTGCAGGCCTAAAACTGTCTCACAGATAATATAACCCCTACTCCCTGCCAATTCTAGGGCTGTGCCCCATAGCCTAAACTGAAGGCTTTCAAGAAATGGCTTGCCTAAGTTAAGTTTAGGCTACTGCAACAATTCTTCAAAAGTGGGTTTGTATCCTCTCTCATGCAAAACTAAGCGGAAGCCTCAGTGTCTGTTGTGAAACATAGTAGGGAAGCTACATAACTTAATAAAAGTTGGTAAGTTACACATAGGCCTAGGCCTAACTATTAATTACCGGTAACTTAAGTTATATCAATCTCTAGTTTAAGTTTAAACTTGTCAATTACAACATTGTAAGTAACCTGAAGTAATAGGTACTTACTAAGTAAGTAGTAACTTAAGTTAGTATGAAGTAAGACTAAACATTTTTTATCTCTGATTCTGAATTCTGCACTTTGTTTATCTATAGCCAAGGCCTATTAGTTGAACTGAAATGCCATTAGCTATGTTAGTTTATCATAACTGATAAAAAAGTTCTAATAACTCACCGAATAAGACGCCATTGCGTTAGTAGAATGAATGTAAAATAGAAATGAATAGAAAACTCACTCAAGCTAACTTATATATTTTTTTAGAATTGTATATCCAAACAGGGTTTTTACAGATAAAAATGGCGCCGACCGAGCAAGCAAACAACAGCAAACAAAACTTTGAATACCTTGTTGACGTTCCTCTTTTTCTTTTCTTCTTTCATTTCCGTTACCATCGTTTTAGTTTAGTTTTAGGCCTTTGGCCGCCTTGCTTTATAGCACAGCAGTAATATATAAAATACCCCCGCCGCAGCAAACCTGCCGACTAAGCGAATTTCCATTTGTCTGAATTGAATTTCAGTTAAATATATTTTAATAACATTAGGTTTAACGAGTACCTAGGTTTGCTGCTACAAGGAAAGTAATAAAGTATGTTTTTTTTTGTAAAATATTGATAGCTTAGTACAAAATAAATAAATTTGCCAAGTTTGATCAAAATATATCCATAAACAAGCAAACTAAACATTTGACAATATTCCTATAAGAATAACATGGGAATTTTAAATTTACAATTTTTTTAAATTTTCTCCGTTACTAATAACCGAACAAAAATACTTTAATATACTAAATTATTTGTTTTTTAAGCTCTTTAAAAAGGTCTAAAGAGAAATTGGGAAATTTTGTGTTTTGAGGGTCAAAAATGAGAAAAACCTATTTTTACCCCATAAAACCCCCCGTAAAACCCCGTTCCCATGGTCCGATCATGCTGGTTCGCGAACTCATTCAAGTTTATCCCGCTCTACACCTTTAAACCAAATTTCATCAAAATCGGACCAAAATTACTCAAGTTATCGCGTTCACGGACGTATATAGTAGACATTGTGCATAGATTTTTTAAATAGTAAAAAAGCACAACGGAAACTTACTTACTGGGTCATCTAATGATGTAACAGTTTTGAGCTGATACGGATATTTATTTGTTGTAACATAAAGAATTTGTTATCTAAATCTTTGCAAATTTAACGTTTAGTATTGTAATTATTGAATCTGCATATATTGTTTTAAATTGTTGATTTACATTATTTTATACTGTTTATAGGATTCATTTTTCATTCCTTGTTTGATTCTTATTGTGAATATCTATTATTGTTATAATATTGTTATTATGTTTTCACCACACTATGATGTTTTTGGCTGTATTACATACGTTAATTGGTGGCTGAAAGTTACGTTTTGCTGGCCATGCCAGCTGTCATCGTAATTTGGGGACCGAGCAGGTTTTTACAGGCCGGGGCCGCAAAATCAGCTGTCCGCTTACTTACTTAAAACATGAATGCATTTTAAATACACAATCAAAATCCATAGCATTGCAATAGAATTGTGTTATTGTCACCGTTGCCTAGCAACTATTTATTTTTATTTTTGCTGATTCCTCAAATTATTTATTCACATAACCTTAAAGTTGTAGTTGTGTTGACTATCAGTATGCATTATTATAGTGGTGAATAGTGGTAATAGGGTATAGTGTGGTGAAAAATAGCGTTCGTACCACGGACCGAAATGGTTTTGCAGCTCTCGATCGATTTAAGTTCTCGACTTCGTCTCGAACTTAAAAACTATCTCGAGCCGGCAAAACCTCATTTTCGGCCCTAGGTACGAAATATACTATTAATTTAACAACTCTGTCATCAAGACGCCACAGAGAGCGGCAAGGTGTTTTTCATGTGTGGACTGGACTGAAAATTTATAGAATGTACTTTATATATTTTTTTAATTTTTATTGAACGTTGTCACATTAACTGGATGCTGTGGCAACGTAATTCCGAGTTTTTATTTCATTTGTATTTTATGTTATTATGGTGGAATAAATCATTATTTCATTATTTCATATATATATACATATATAAAAATTTGAACGAATGGTGTTTTTGGCCTCTGGGGACATCAAAATGAAAAATTAAATCGGTCCCGGGTCTAGGTCTTACCGTGCCACCTACGGTAATAGCTACTTCCCTATAGGGAAATTCGCTAACTGCTGGCTGGCTCCCAGATAGCATGCACGCTTTCTGTAAACATGCGTTTGGTGTGTTTTTCGTTCGTTATTGAAAGTATGCATTGGAAGTTTGGCGAAAACTTGTTTTTGCTTCCCTTGAAAGTCTTCTGAAGCTTACTTGCTGTAAGTTTGCGGGAACGTTGCCTGTTGCCGCCTAGCGCTACGACCAGTTGCGGGATGAAAGTGAAACACTTCAAATAGTTCACGATGGCTCCGCACCTGTTCGTGTAGCGCTATGCGGCAACAGGCATCGTTTCCGCAAACATGTGGCAAATAAGCTCCAGAAAACTTTCACGGGAAACAAAAAACGTGTTTTCACCACACTATGATGTTTTTGGCTGTATTACATACGTTAATTGGTGGCTGAAAGTTACGTTTTGCTGGCCATGCCAGCTGTCGCCAATTTGGGGACCGAGCAGGTTTTTACAGGCCGGGGCCGCAAAATCAGCTGTCCGCTTACTTACTAGAACATGAATGCGTTTTAAATACACAATCAAAATCCATAGCATTGCAATATAGAATTGTGCTATTGTCACCGTTGCCTAGCAACTATTTATTTATATTTTTGCTGATTCCTCAAATTATTTCTTAACCTTAAAGTTGTAGTTGTATTGACGATCAGTGTGCATTATTATAGTGGTGAATAGTGGTAATAGGGTATAGTGTGGTGAAAAATAGCGTTCGTACCACGGACCGAAATGGTTTTGCAGCTCTCGATCGATTTAAGTTCTCGACTTCGTCTCGAACTTAAAAACTATCTCGAGCCGGCAAAGCCTCATTTTCGGCCCTTGGTACGAAATATACTATTTCACCAAACTTCCAATGCACATTTTCAATAACGAACGAAAAACCCACCAAACGCATGGATTCCGACGGGGAATTTTCTTTTTTTTTAACGGCTGTCTTTTGTGGAGAGACTAACCAGCATTACTGACGCTCGACTTTATTAGGCGCAGGACAGGAACAACATTGGATATACCATAGACGATATACTCATCATTGAATGATTGTTTTAGTTTAGAAGTGAAAACATTGTAAAAAAAAATAAAATAAACAAATACTGAATCATGTTTTGTATTTGGATCTTTACTATTTTACTTTCAAATGTATTGAACAAATAGTAAGACAATAGTGCATATATACACTCCAATTAAATTAACTGTAGTTAATTTATATAATAAGTAATGGGGCGTATTTCTTTTAGTTTCGCCACTGAAAAGTGAAGGGGAAATTAGCGCTGCTTTTTTCAATAACTCTCTTAATTATTCCTTACGGTACAAGTAAATTGAATATCCACTATTATTGTTACAAAGACTTTTTCAAACTTGGAAGGGTTTCGTGGTTAGCAGAGCACGATTAATTTCTCGGATTCACGGAATCTGGGAGAAACCCCTAAGACATTTCCTGCCAAGGCTCCTAACGTCATTCTAAGAATGGACTGTGTATTGAGGTCACAGAGGGAACAATGCGCGCCCGTCCTTGTAGTAGAAACGGGAAGTAGGCAACCCACCCCAAAATCGCCAATAATAAGGCCCACTTTCCTTATTCGTAACGTAACTAAGATTATAACAAAATATATTTAATTTGTGTTATCATTTCGATGTGACCCGTTGCCCTTGCAACCTTTATTTTTACTTATTTAAATAATTAAGATATGGTTCAAAATTTAGAAACTGTTTTCCCATAAATTTTCATCAGTATACCTGCTAATTTTTAGAAGCTAATGGTAGAATAATACTGTAGTGGTTTTTAATAATTCTGTAGGCTCATATCCGTCATGGAATTATTGAGTTGATTTCTTTAGGAATGATTGCATAATGCATTGAGGTAAAATGTAACTGGTTTTAACTTTTAGCAAATTGAAAACAAGCTTTTCTTTCTGTTCTGTTTAGGCCCTACTCCTGCGATAACAGACGTGTTCGATAATTGGAACCATTACAATCAGCGAAAACAAATTCAAATGTCATATTGTGCTCGTTGATTACAATACGGTACCGACCGGGGGACCGATAGCCCTGCTCGGTTGTGGTTAATTGGGTCTAATCGATATTATAAAAGACATTCTCGTGAATGTCAAGTTAAGACTTGAATGTTAGATGTATTTTATAATTTATGAAAAAATATTTTTATTACAAACCATAGAAATATGATCGCTGAAATAATAAGAACTCTGTAATGTAAAGTGTGCAATTAAAGAAAAATCAACACTCTTTTAGGATTTTGCTCATAAGTTTAAGTGATACTCAGAATTATTTGTAAACATCGACAGCAGATAATATTTGTAACATACTGTACAAACGAAACCACATTAGTTTCGAAACGGCTCGTGACAAGGATTTTTTGCTTTTGCGCCACTTATAATATGTATGTTACAACGATATGATCAAATCTATTTCTGCCCTTGTAATTTTCCGAACTTAAACTTCATAAGTCAAGTGCTGACAATTTAAGTAACCAATTTAGTTTTTTTCACTCAATTTTAAATCAACAATTTAGTGTTATTTACATGATCAAAGATCGAATATAAAATATCGATTGCCGTTATTTTATTTTTTGAACAATCGTTGACTAAACTTAAGGTGTTGGTCTACCTTTAGTGGCCTATTTTTACTGTGAATCCCTGCCAACGAGGTTCACGCATGCCTAAAAGCCTCTTATGGTACTACCATATACTACGTTTAAAAGCTACTCTTTTAACGAGCATGCGTACATTTTCCCCGAAAGAAACGGTTGCAGAAACATTCTCTAAACTAAACAGCCTTTGGACATTGGGAATGGCAAAATTGAAATTGACCAAACCACAAAAGAGTTTTGGTTTTTTCATACTTATGTAAACTACAACCAAATATTCAATCTGGGAAAATGTACAGTATTCCCAGACTTGTCAACCAATTTCAAAGATCCACAGTGGCTTTGCGACCGTGCAATTTTGGCCCCTAAAAATGATTATGTTTACGAGCTAAATCAACAAATTTTATTGAAATTGCCAGGAGAGTTTTTGTATAATATAGATCAATATACACAGCAGCCACACGTATTTTCATTAAAAGAAG